TTCATCTCATCGCAGAACCTTGCATGACCGTGATCCGTCGCGGACTATCCTTATACTATGGCGGAGGGATCGTGATCATGTGAACCCGGTGGAGTTGAACTAGCCCCGTCAGGTCAGATCATCTCACCTGACGGGAAGTTTATTAAGGGCCATAAAGCGCTGGTACATAGATGGTGATAGTTTAAGCTTACAAATAAGATATGCTCACTTAAAAGAAATCTAAGACAAGATCTTCTTTATCTTATCGTTCGATTTTTCTGCATCATGGATGAGATTGAAATACTGATAAAACATCATTTTCGGTTTTTAGAATTCTCTTTTTTGCATATTTAAAATGATAAATAGTAGAATACTTCATAAAGGTTATCTAACTAAACAATATCCACAGATTTCAAATATGAAATTCTTATGAGCTTTTGAGTAGTTCTTATTTGTCTTGCCTTTCAAGGGTGTTTTAGCCATAGCAGCACCTCATCGTTAGAAGAATTTGGCGAGACATTCCATAACAATGTGTCACCACCTAATCTACATCCGCCTGAACTGCGCGGCAACAGCAAATCTGTCCCGGATGGTTTGAAGATATCTCTCGACAGTCCTGAAGGTCATAAAGCAGTGAGTTCTGAAATCAAAATTTTGCTAAAACCAAAAATTTGACCTTATGCAGCCTCCAATCTCCCCTACCTCCAACGTGTCATGGTTCGTAGATGAATTGCCAGTGATCGAAGAAGAAGAGCAGGATAAAAGGCGCGTATCTGAAGGAGGTAGTTGGTTCTTAGTGGAAAGCTCAAAAACTGTCTTTTTTTTTGAAATTATTTATCCTCAGAATCACTGTCGAGCAGTCAAAGCAACAGCTCCAAAACAACGCATCGAAGTTTGGAACCCCATGCGAGCCATTTGCCAATTCCTGAGAGGGGAGACATCAAACAAAGCCAAAAGAAGCTTGATGAGAAAAAAAGTCATAAAAGAGATTAATGCTGGGATAAGACGATACTTCAATTTCTTTCGACACTCTTAAAAGTGTAGTCATCGTATGGGAAACATTTTGAGTAAAGTCGCATCTGTATCTGGTATTTTCATCATATTAATTATAGCAGAAAACCAGGCGATGAGCCAGCATAGCGATATAACCCGCAATTAACCTTTGCAGTCATTTGCGTCCACTGAGCAGGATAGCTTGCAACGAATAAAACTACCTA